GCCGCGAGCACGCGGGCTAGCTCGCGCGCGCCCACAGACGCGTGCCCGCGGCGTGGAGTGGCCAGCATCTCTGCGCCCTGCGCCCGGGCACGTCGAAGTGGCCGGTCTGCATAGGCACCCTGCGCGATGGGAGCTGCTCTCCCGGGCAGATCGGGGTGGACGCGGGCGTGGGTGGGTTTCCCACGCGTGGTGCTCTCGGCTGATGGACAAACGTAATGACGTGTCTATTTCTTCTCTGCCTTCCTCCCCCTCCCCCTGCCTTCTCTGATACTTGCACGCGCTTCTTTCTGCGTTCTTGGGAATCTGCCCCCACCCCCTTTGTTCTGACTCGCTCCCCTCTCGTGATCGCCTCCAGCCCTTTGCGGAGCCCGAGTGTGCGCGCAGGAACCGGAGTTCAGCTACGGCTGTGCCGAGGGCAGCTGCTACCCAGCCACGGGCGACCTTCTCATCGGCCGTGCGCAGAAGCTCTCGGTGACCTCGACGTGCGGGCTGAACAAGCCGGAGCCCTACTGCATCGTCAGCCACCTCCAGGTGAGGGCGGACTTGCGCCGCCTCCGCGCCAGACCTGAAGGGGCAGGCCCAGGGGACGCCGCGTCCTGCCAGCTATCCAGATAGGAAGCATGGCAAGCCTGGGAGCCCCAGGATTAGGCTGGCAGCACACCCTTTATCCAGATTCAGTTTGCACAGTTGCATCCGCCAAACATTTCCTGCCGCCCCCTCCTCTCCAGAGACAGACCTGACCCACGGGCTCCAAAAGCCCCTATTTTCCCCTTTAATGTGTTCTTTTTGGAAATGTACATTAAAAGCAGTTCCCCCACCCCTCCCCCTTTCCTGTACTAAACAGTGATCTTGGATTTCTCCCAGAATCTTATCGCTTGGGTAAAGGGTATGCAGCCGTGACAGACGCCTTGCAAGGTGACCTCAGTTACTGAACCGGGTTTTCTTTCCCTCCCTCCATTGAAGAGCAGGGACAGATGCTTAGTGGTTTCACAAGTATGCCCTCACTTTTTCAAACATGCTGGAGACTAGTGACATTTCAGGGTGTGAATTTACCAAGTCAAAATTGATTTTAAGAGAAGACACACCAAGGCTAAAGTATTCAGCATCCCTTCTCTGAAATTAAAAAGAGACTGGACATGTCTGGCCTCTAACTGAAGATGCTAAAGATCACATACAGGGCACGCCCCAGGCCAATTCCTCTAATTCTAGTCACTTTACCACCTGGATACCTGCGGTTTGCACAGGTGATACCTTAAAGTGAAGTCAGGTTTGCAACAGGTTAGGAAGAACCCATGCTGGAGAACTAATGAATTAAACTGAAGGAATGTGGTAAAGTGGATTCCTCTCATTTGCTTCCAGATTTATACAGAAATGTCTAGACGGCTTCCTCCTGATTAGAAAGGAGACTATAATTATACTGTTATTTTTTTTTAAGTTCTGGTAATTGTTCCCTAGCACTAGTAACCTTGACTACAAACTAATGAAGGCATTGATGTTATTGTCTAATATTAGCATTCAGCTTTTTATCTAATTTATTGTGAGACCATTCAAAGACCTAAACATCCTGTAATTGAATCACTCGATCATGAAACCAGCTTGGACCAGAGTTAGAATTAGACTGTCTCAAAAGCCAGTAGGGCAGGCACTCATGTTTTTATTGATTGGCCATGAAATTGGGGCATACGTCTCATTTTTTTACAGATACAAGGACCAAAAAGAAAAGACTGGTTAACTTGCCTCCAACATTTAATGGGTATAAAAATATGTAAACTCAGTGCTCCACCATGTTCCCTACTGGAGACCTTAAGTGCACAAATTAAACCAAAACAAAACCACGAATGCTTATCTAGCTGCCAAAGAGGTGATTCCAATTCATTGTGACCCTGTCGGATAGGGTGGAGCTGACCTTAGTGGTTCCCAAGAGTGTAAATCTTCGTGGAAGCAGCCAGCCTGGTCTTCTCCCTTGGTGGCTTGTGGATTCAGAGTGCTGACCTTGTGGTTGGTAGTCTGATGGGAAACCACTGCACCACCATGGCTCCTGTAGAACCTAGAGTGTCCCCTAATTTCACTTGGCAATCTACTTCTGAAAATTCAGTCCACTGAAACCTCTGTGGAGCATAGTTCTTTGGCACACACTGAGTCACCGTGAGTCAAGGTTGACTCAAAGGCACCTATTTTTGTTTCCTGATTCCAAGAATGCAGGTCCGTTTGGGGCTACCTTGGGTTATCCCTAGCTTATAATGGTCCCCCAAACTGCAGGGCAGCCTGGTAGCCCCTCCCCCAGATTTCCTGAGTGCTGTGTAGGTTAGCCTGCACGCCGCTGCCTCGGCTTCACTGAGCAGATTCGAAGCTAAGGATGCTTATTCTGTAAATCCCAAACCCTCTCTAAATGTTTCTGCCTAATGGTTCCTGCCGTTTTATCACAGTTCTAGAAAATCAGGTCAAATGTATTGCTCTCTCCCTCTTTTTTTTTCCTTTCATTTTCAGTTTCTTTATATCAGCAAAAATTCCCTAATACCACTTTTGCCTATAGAATAAGCTTCTCTCGTTATTTATTTAAGATTAAGATTCAAGCTTGGAAATAGGGTTTTGATTAATTAATAGCTTGTGGAAACAGTGCTCTTTTATTTTTGGCCTGGGATTTTCAGAGAGGAAGAACTTCTTTCCAGAGGTAGCTTCGACTTGATAAGTCAGCGGGGTCAGCTTGTGAGGGGGTAGGTGTGCCACATTCACTTGTCTTGAAACAAGTAGGTTGGCCTTTGATATTGCGGGCTTGAGTCCTTGTTGCACTGTGAGATTGTTTACCAGACTCATGAGACACACTTTGTTTTCAGGAGGATAAAAAATGCTTCATATGCAATTCACAAGACCCTTATCACGAGACACTTAATCCTGATAGTCATCTCATTGAAAATGTGGTCACTACCTTCGCTCCAAACCGCCTTAAGATATGGTGGCAATCGGAAAATGGTATGTAGTCGGTGTGGGAACAAGTTCGGTGGCATGTGGTTGGGCGGGGTTATGGGCTTGTGTGTGTATGTGTGTGTAAAATTACCGAGGAATCTCTGTCCTGTAATTATGGCCTTTGGCAGATTTATTGCCTGCGGCACCAAATTCTCCGGGTAAAATCTCATCGTTCTTCTTGAAGCATGCGCTTCCTCGAAGAAAGCAGTCTTTCATGCTAGCCCAGAAGGAGTGTTCCCTAGTTTTTATCCTGAGAGGGAGGGGGCTGGGGGAATGTGTCTGTTTGGAATGGGGGAGAAATCTGGGGAGGGTGTGGGAAGGGCCCTGTACTGTCTCTGGCCTTAATTCTTCTTCCGAAAAACATCGCATCTTTGATTTTGCTCAACCCCAAAGGAAAGGGCAGATGGACAGTTCCGCCGCCCCTTCCACGCAGTGAGAATCTGATACCGTCCGATGAATGAGCACCAGGATGTCAGTTTTTCAAAGACTGTCAACATGGGCGTGGCTCAAACTCTGCGCCTCGTGGTGGTTTGCATCCACCCCCTTGTCTTTTCTGTCATTTGGCTTTGCAGTTAATAAATTCACCAAATAGGCTAAGTTGCAATCACTGTGCACCTGAGCCTAGATTAATTTCACATTTGCTTCATACACAAACGCTGAAATGTGGGGACTGAAAGCATGGTGTGTTGGTTAATTAACAATGTACCATTACACTTGGTTTTTTGTTTTGTTTTTTAAATATGGGAAGGGATAAGGATCCCTCGACTGTACTAGAGCAAGCCCCACGCCTGGGACGCTCGTGGATGCCGGCACTCATTTCTCATTCTGCCAAGAGTAACATTGTTCAGTAGACTTCCTTGTGGTTGACTAATCAACTTCACGTGTTGCTGGAGAACCGTTGGTTCTTGTTGTTGGTAGATGTTGTCCAGTTGGTTCCAACTCACACCGACCCTGTTTACAACAGAACGAAACACCATCTGGTCCTGCACCATCCACACAATTGTTAGGTTTGCGTCCGTTTTTGAAGCCACTGTGTCAGTCCATCTTGTCGAGAGTCGGCTCCTCCTCCTTCACCGCCCTTGTGCTTTACCAAGCACGACATCCGTTTCTAGGACTGATCTGTCCTGTGGGCGTGTCTGAAGCATGTCAGACGAAGTCTTGAATCCATGCTTCTTAGGAGCATTCTGGCCGTACTTCTTCCAAGACAGCTTTGTTCATTCTTTTGTCAGTCCCGGGGGTTTCCCCATTCTTTGCCGCCACCACACGTCAAAAGTATCCATTCTTTGGTCGTCTTTATTCAATGTCCAGCCTTCACATGCAATGGCCATCTGTTTTGAGAGTTGACTCCTAGGGAGGGTTATTCATAGGTTGGCCTTGGGGGCCCTCAGACATGGTTGAGAAAGACTGATTGCTCGGGAAGCACATCATCTAGAGCAGCTTGGTCGGAAGTTGAGTGCGCAGCAGTGGTCTCTGTAAAGGTGCGCTCAAATCTCAGAGGCCTCCTGAAAGTGGCATAGAGCTTTCTGTGAACAGCGACAGGAGGATTTCCTGCTTCCCACAGTCTTCCAGTGAAACAGAAAGACCGTCAGAAGAAGAATGCCTGCAAAGTTCAGATCAAGACTGTTCCCGCTTCAATCAGTAGTCAGAAAAAGTTTTTCAAGGGCTGTAGTGCCTCGGGCAGTTTTCCTGAATTGTATCAGGAGCTAATTGACTTCTAGACCTTTGAATTCGTGGCACAAAAGGGACCTAGGGCCAGAAAGAAGGAATTTTCAAATAAGGGGGCTTTTGAGTTCCCAGCTGCTCTGCTGGGAGCCCTGGTGGAGTAATTAGGGGTTACGCATTGACCTGCTAACTGGAATGTCAGCAGTTGGAAGCTGCCCCCACCCCCCTTCACAGATGAGGCTTTCTACTCCTGTAAACAGAGGCACGGACACCCATGGGGGCAGTTCTACCCTGTCCTGTTGGGCCACTGTGAGTCAGAATCAACTTGATGGCAGTGGGTGAACTGCTTTATCAAAAGTGTTTGGATGAGATTAGTCAGCAGACAGATGGTTAGAATAGCCTGTCATCGCTCAGCTGTCTGGTCATTCACAAAGACTCTGCAAATCTGATTTCATGGATTCTCTGTGCTGTACATGTTGTGCCATACATCATGGCGCTGAATTACCAGTGCCCAGGCACAAAAGTGGCCATGCCGTGGCGTTTGTCCAGGTACTTTTAATTTACCCGTAATGCCGAGCCATGTCTAGGGTTGACACAGTCAAGTGTAGAAGAATTCTTTTTTTCTTTCACATTGTTTTGCTTCCCACATTATAACAAAAACAGCAGTCCTTCGCTGGGTGAGCAACTGTAAAATGAAATGCATTTGGAGTGACTATTGTGGTCTGTGGTTTTACAGGACCGAGAGGGCCCTCGCCCGGCTTTGTACTGTCCATTTTCCCCCTTATCTCTTCATTTTAAACAAATATTGCAGGTCTTTCAAAGCCTGGCAGAGGGGGTGGGACTGTGGCTTAGCTGACATTTTCACTCAAAAAGAGCAACACCCAGGATAGTTTTGTAAGACGATTCTATTTAAACAAATTAGATAAGGTTAATGAATATGGTGGTAATGTTTTTCTTTAGCATTCCAGCTAACTCATATCCGTTCCAGTGACCACTCCTCCCCCCCAGTAGATCTGGCAGTTGTCCAGCGGGAGGGTTTATGACAAAAGGTCCTACTGCTTTCCTGAAAGTACACCATCCTGTGACAGGATTGGTTCTGACACGTTCCCATCTGTCTTCTTGCAGCTAAGACTTCTTTTGCCCCGAGATGGAGAGAGGGAGACACTCGCTTTCTTAAACAGAAGAATTGCAGAATGGCTTCCATTATCCAATTGAGCTCAGCCCGAGGGCCCTAGGAATGGGGTGGGGACGATTTCTGTCCCTGGAATTCCAGTGGCCTCTTCAGTGTGTTAAAGCCAGGCTGGTTGACCCTGGGGCACGGTGCAAAGGCTCCTTTGTTTGTTCAGGCTCTGGCCTGAAAGGGGAGATGTTAGTATTTGTTCTAGGCCAGTTTATTTCTCTGACCCTCTTTTTGTCTCTCTGGCATTGTCTTTCACGTGTGGAAGTGCACTGGGGGGCATTTTTGAATTGGAATTGTAGCTGACGTGTGTGGTGGGCTCTCCTCCCCCCACCCCCCCCTTGCTGCTGCAACAGAAAAAAAAGGCATATTTGTGTCTCTACTGCAGGAGAATCTTGTCCCTAAGCTTCTGACTGCAAGCTGACCCCCCTACCGTGCACAGGAAGTATCTCCCCCCCCTCCCCTGGAAGGCACTTGGCTCTGAGGGTTGGGAAGCTGTTTCACTTCATCCTAAGCAAAGACGTCTTTCTTGACAGCAGCTGGAGGCACTCTGCCAGCCGTCTTGTTCTGGAGAGCAGTTTTACTACGTTGGGCTCCAGGATGATTTGGAGTCAACCAAAGGACTTGAGCTTCACCACCCGAATCGAGCCGGGCTTTTTTAATGATCTCACCTGTGGGTCTTCCGTGCCAGGTGGGATACAACAGGGGATTTCTAGGAAGACCCTGCCGAGCATTGAAGGAAACCGTTCCAACTGTGCCCCGCTGGTTCTGTTGGCCTTGCTGTTTCTTCTGTCATTCTTAAACCATGTTTTTTTTCTCATCGCCTCTAGGCATGGAAAATGTCACAATCCAGCTGGATCTGGAAGCCGAATTCCATTTCACTCATCTCATCATGACTTTCAAGGTAAAGAATCCATATCGTTCTCCCTGAGACACAGGGGAACACCGGGTACTTCAGTGGTCTCGTCGCCGTAAATTGGGTGGTGACACAGGACGGTGACATACGTGCTCTCTGTGTGCACGGGGAGAGCACCCCTCTGCTGAGGTAGTTCAGTTGCACCGTGAAGCTTTAATTCAAGAGCGTTTTGTATTTCCCCACGGAGAGAGGCAGCCTTGACTTGCTTCCAAACCACAGTAGAACATCTGGACAGTGAAGCCCTGCTGTTTATGTTCTAGTGCAGAGTCTGGTGACTGAAGAAGGAATCGTGTTATCTTTAGCTGGTAAGGCTTTGCAGAAGTTTTGCAAGAATGGTGTGACCAAGATAATGCGGCGACTCCTTCAATGTGGATTTTCGCATCTTTTTTTTCCCCTTTTAGAAATGTAACATGACTCTGAGTCTAGGGAATGTCTGTACAAAGTCCCTTTGTTTTCTTCTGCAGCAGCTGCCTGCTAATGACAGACTTCGCATGGCTTACAGTATATGTCAGTGCACATAAAACCCTTCATTTGCTTATTCCTTCTCAGATGGAAATTACTTTTGAATCATTTCTTTTTTTTTTCTCACCCCACCCCTGTGTTGGAGGTGTGGCCCGTCTCTACCCCCCTCTCAGGTTAGACACAACTCTGAGCAGTGGATTTCCCATAGGCGTAAGGAGTGTGGGTCAAAGGCTTACTTGTGTCCTCTGCTAATGCCTGTGAGGGGGGTTGGGGAGCAAAGATGGGTCTAGAAGCCAGAGAGGGACTAAGAGGGACGTTACTCAACTCCTGGACATCAACTCCATTCCCACTCAGAGCCACCGTATAGGACAGGGCAGAGCTGCCCCTGTGAGTTTCCGAGACTAACTCTTGGCGAGAGCATGAAGCTGATTGGCTAGCAGTCCACCAGGTCACGCACTACCTCGACGGGACTCTGGGAGGGACCTTGAGGTCGTGCAGTTCAGTCCTCTGCTCTTCATCACCGTGCCCACTGCCCACCCGTCACTGTGAGGGCAGCAAAGGTTCATGTGACTTTGATGCCGGGTAAAGATTGGTGGGGAGGACTTGCCTTGAATAGCTTATTCTTTGTCACGCGGCCCTTTCCCTCACTTAAAACCACACGCCCATCCTGGTGCTTAGAATTTACCATCAGCTGCACAGAGTCTCATGTTACACGGCACCTGAAAGTCCTCACCATGTTTTTTGTGGGGGCGGGCGGGCTGTGTTTTGGATATCATCTCTGTGCACATGAGCAGGTCTGCGCTCATTCATACTCAGAAGTCCTTTGGGTTTATACTCTAGTTGAGCACTCACTCATTCAAGGGAATGCAGCAGACCCACCTCAGTGCAGAAGGCTCAGTCGAGGTGGAGGTTGAACTGATCCATGAGCAATGGGTACAAGCTGTCAGAGTTCTGTTGATGGGAAGAAACTTGCCCTTTGGGTCCCAGCTTGTGCAAGAAGAGCATCTTTGGGTTAGACAGGCATGGGTGTGAACCCCCAAGCCTCTGACCATCCTGTGGCTTTCTCATTGATCCAGTGGAAACACTGTTGCTACTTCGTCTATGGGGTTGTGTGAAATAACTCCCTGTGCTGGAAGTAGGACTAACCTTGCTGCATGAATAGTTCTTATGTATGCTGATGTGTGACGTGTAATTGCTATGTGGATGACTGGTGCATAGCTAAATGTATCCAGCAACCTTCTGCATGCAAAAAAAAAAAAAACAGGTCTCCCTGCCCAGTGCAAGCCAGATGGGCCACTGCTCTCCGGGGACTTCCAGTTCTATAAAGAAGAAAGATACACTCGTAAACAGTGTATACTACCTGAAAGAATGTGCCAGCCGCTGTGGGAGATGTCCAGTGAATGGGCTGGACATTAGCACGAAGGAGGGTCAGATACAGTTTCTCCCTGGATGGCGAAGAAAGCCGCACGCACAAGGAGAGGACTAGGGTGGTATTTCCCTGGAGACAGGACACACAGAGCAAGATGTCTGAGAAGAGATGGGAGGAAGTGGTCTGCGATCAGCAGGGTTACTCGCGCTGGCCAGTTCGGCGTAGATGTGCTGCCAGCCTCCTCCATAGGTCTGCCTCAGGTGTAAGGAGACTGGGGAGATGGGGAGCGAACGTTAAAAAAGCAGACTCGTGCCCGCAGGACCTTGCTCCCTGCGGAGTGTGAGCTTTGTAGAACGTTTGGGAGCCATGGACTAGGAACTGAGAAGTAGGGAAAGAGCGAAGGGAGCCCAGAAGGAAAGAAGGAGGCTCTGGGGCCCAGAGAAGAAAAGGCAGGTTGGAAGGCTCTTGTTGAAGGGCTGAGGGAGGACGTGACTTGAGAGGCTGCTGTTTGGCCGGCTGTGACTCTCAGGTGACAAGGCACTTCCTCCTGCAACTCCCGGGTGCCAGCAGTTTTACTTGGAGAGGTTTTTCCGATCACACCTCCCTCCCTTTTTGCCGTACTCTGAGACCTGCTGCTGCAGCTGCTGCCTTCGGGAGTCAGTGCTCCAAGGAGCTCCTGTTTTCTAAAGCCTTCGAACCAAAGGCCGGACCACGGATTGGGAAGGACGCCCCTTGAAAAGATTAGCAGCAGAACAACAGACGGAAAAGTAGAGAAATGTATGAATCAAAGAGTACCTAGATGTCCAGGCTGGGTCAGTAGCAGGGTGGGGATACCACTGAGAGTGTCCAGAACAGGAAAGGAACTAAAGCTAGGCGTGTGGAGGAAGAACACGTAACTGGTTCTTATCTGCATTTGTCATGGCATTGGTTGATCACCCGCTGGCTAGGGTTTCTTGGGCTAGCAGATCTCTCAGTATCTGTACAGTCTGTCTGTAGAATAGCCAGGTGTTTCAAAACTCATGACTCTTTTATTTATTATAACTTCCGAGGCATCTTTGCAGAAACTGAGACTGAAGGAGTTTGAGGAATAATGAAAGACTTTTGTTCTTTAGGTAACATGTGGCCCCGTTTCCACAGGAAGTTGGATAGCTCATCAATGCCCTTTGGGACTTGGATCTTTCCAGAAGGGCAGGAGAAGGAAGCGCAGCCAGGACTGGCTCAAACGTGCTTCCTCTCAACTCCCTTTTGGCCTAGAGATACCCGCCAAGGAGTCCCTCCCCCATCGCTCTCCTGGTCCCCCCTCAGTCCTATTGGGATTGAGTTTGGCATGTGCAGTTGGCATGTGCGGCCCCGTGTATTTATTCCTTTCCCCCTTGAAAATTCTCGCCACATACCCTCTTAGGCTTAATGAAGTGCTGTTTCTTTATATTCCCCACTCGGTTCACATTCAAGAGCATGAGCAGTTAGTCAGTGAGGAAGTCAAGGGCTCCATTGCAGTGTGAGCTCCCGTTTTTCTTAATCCTTAACTCCCTAAGGGCGGCAGTGGTCGTCTGGAAGAGAAGTGTGGATTTGAGCATGTGCTGCTTGCTCTCAGAGTTCCATCAAGAAGTGCTTGGCATTGACAAGTCGCGGTCTTGTTCAAGTTCTGGTTTCCAGGTCCGTCTAACGCTTTTGCTCTCCTTTCTCTGTAGCCTGGCTTCCACTTCCCACCATGCACTCGCCGTGTTCAGCAGTAACGCAGCATTTGCCCGTCTGCCTATTTTGGGTGCTCATTCTGCCTCACCTTTCCACCGGGGCCTACCCACAGCACCCTCCTAAATCCCCACCCTGCCCTGCTCGTCTGAATCCCTCATTTTCTACCTGCTCATCAGCACCCACATCTGTCTTCCCCCTGCTTTGAGTCAGCGAGGGAACAACATAGATCGGGTCATATTTGGGCGGGGGCAGGGGTAGCTTCAAAAAGTTCCTGGAAAAATGGAATTACGAGATCATGGGGTTTTTCCATGCAATTTCTCGAAGCCCCCTCATAGACCCCTGTCTGGTACCACGTAGGGAATCATTGAGTGATGAGATAAGCGGACTAAGGACTTGGGCACTCATCAGCCATATTGCCGGTGTGATGGCTAAAGTATACCGACGTGTTTGCTACCAAGGCCTGTCTGCTTACAGTCAGCTTCTAAAGAGAAGCAGGGCTTGGCTCACTCATTGGGTCGGGTGGGAGAAAGTGCAAAACTCGGAGGCTAGTCACTTTCTTTGCTGAAAGAGGCTTCGCGGAACAGCCTGAAGCATTTGATATCCAGCCACCGTCTGAAATGCCAACCCCATGCAGTCAGGGCCCGCGGCACACCGTTGAGTGGTCATTTCTTATGAAACCTTGAAAATACAGATCGCGGATGGAAAACACCAACTGTGACTTTTCCTCCCCGCCCCCAGACTTTCCGGCCAGCCGCCATGCTGATCGAACGCTCGTCCGACTTTGGGAAGACGTGGGGTGTGTACAGATACTTCGCCTACGACTGTGAGAGCTCATTTCCGGGCATTTCCACTGGCCCCATGAAGAAAGTCGATGACATAATTTGTGACTCCCGGTATTCTGACATTGAACCCTCAACGGAAGGAGAGGTTTGTGTTTAGTTTTTAATGGCCTGCTTGCAAAGGGACCTTTGGATCATTGCAAAAATGCCACTTGCTCTTCTTTCTGTCTCTTTGTAGGTGATCTTCCGGGCTTTAGATCCTGCTTTCAGAATAGAAGACCCGTACAGCCCCCGGATCCAGAGTAAGCTTGCTTTTAAATCAAAGTGTTGATGGGCAGCAGCAGTCCAGGAGGCACTGTGCCCATCACCCTCCCCGGAGTGGAAATCTTAGGTGCTAGCCACCCCCCACCCCACCCCCAAGCGTTGTCGTCCTTCTTTAGGACCCTACGCGATGCCCTTGCCATAAGTACTAATCCAAGTCCTCCCTGCTTGGGAACAATGTGGATCAGGAGAAAGATTGTGTTGGGCTGCCAGCCCCAAGGCGAGCAGGTGAAAACCACCAGCCGCTCCATGGGAGAAGGACAAGGTTTCAATCCCATGAAAAGTCCCGGTCTCAGAAACCCAGAGTGTCTCGCAGGGGTGCTGTGAGTCGGAATCCACTTGATGGCGGTGAGCTTGTTGCAGTTGAAAGTCCTCACTGGGGTCGGAAGCAGCATGTGTGAGAGTTAAAGATTGATGAGCACGCGGGTAATGTCTGTGGTCATAATACTGCATTTTATTGCTCGGTATATTCTTGTCTGGATGAAGCTGTTGGAAAAAAAGTAGCCCCCGCCCCAAGACAGTGATTTGAATAAGATAGATGTCTCTGGTTCCTTTATAAAATTATGCAGAGGGATTTCCAGCGAGCTCTGGTGGTGTCATGAGTTGAGCGTTGGACAGCTAACTGAAAGGTCGGCAGTTTGATCTCACAGCCATTCCACCAGAGAAAGCTGTGGCAGCCTGCTTCTGTACAGGTGTACAGCCTCGGAACCCCCATGGGGCTGTTCCTCTCTGTCCTGTGAGTCAGAATCGGCCCTGCGGCCATTCCTGCCATCGGTTCCCTGGAGTTTGCCAGGCGTCTTCTGCCTTTGGAGCCTTCATTCACGTGATCAGAGCTACACTGCCACGTCCTTCCTCGTTCCACCCGTGGGCAGTGGAACCTGGCGGGCAAGCAGATTCCCTCTAAAGGGGAGACCCGGAAGCTGCTCCCATCTCTTTCTGCACGAGGTGATGGCCAATCTCTAGCCAGGTGGCCAGGCCCTCAGCGAAAAGTGTTGGGCGTTCTTACTGCTCCAGGAAGATGGGGAGAAATCCTGCAGCCATGCTCAGGAGAGCGAGGTCTGTGTTTCTGTTTGACAGATGACTCAGCTGCGGCTCAGAGCGCGCGGGTCACAGGTGTACGGGGATGGGGCTATAAATGGCAGAGTGAGATCTTGACCCCCCTATGTTCTGAACCTCAGGCCAGAGCTCTCTGGGTTATCGCAGAATGACATTTTTATTTGGGGAGGCAGACTGTGCAGTGGCTGAAAGAATGGATTTTAGAATCAAACAGACCTGGCTTTGAATACCGTTTTTTCACTTATTGTGTCCAGGTGATTGTCAACAAGCAATTAAGCTTATCCCACCCCTATCCCCCCGCTTCTTTCTTTCTTAAGCCGTGGTGCCTCTTCTGTAAGATTCGGAATTTTGCCCTTAGCATCTTTCTGGAGGGGAAATGTTTTAATAGATGCACACCATCTATCAAAGTGCCTAGCATATAAAAGCCCAACTCACTGCCATCGAGTAGATGACTCACAGAGACCCTATAGGGCAGGGTAGAACTGCCCGTCAGTCTCCAAGGCTCGTTAACAGGAATAGTAGAAAGCTCAGCCTGTCTCCGGAGGAGCTGCTGGTGGTTTCGAACTGCTGACCCTGTGGACCACAGCCCAACCCGTAACCACTACTGCCACTGGGCTCCTCTCCTGCTATCGAGTCATGGCTGACTCATAGCAACCCCCTGTGGGTTTCAGAGACTCTTAGAAAGCCCAGTCTTTCTCCCTGGGAGCTCCTTCTTGGTTTTGAACTTCAGACCATGCAGATCACTGCCTATCGTGAAACCACTGTGCCAGCAGGGCAGAGCTTCTCTGGCACATGACACAGTGCTCAGTCCATGGAAGCCGCCACTAGTTGTTGGCATTGACACCATCCCCTGTGCATAGGTCATGAGGAGCAGTGATCCTGTATGCCGAGTGCACAGGCGGCCTGGCCGGCCTCCTCCCCTGCTCTCGGTGCAGTTGGTCCGAGGAGGAGGGGCTGGCCTGGTTTCCCCTCTGCCTTTCTGGTGGTCAGAGCTTGGCTGTATAACCAAGACCTTGTGGAATGCTATGAAGCTTGAAAAAGAAGCCGGGAAGAAGTCCAGGGAATATTTCCAGCAAAGTGCCCCTTCCCCACTTAATTTTACACTTGACCCAGTCTCTGGTCCATAATTCTCCCCTTCCCTCTGTCACAAAACAGATGTGTGTTTTTTAAATTATTTCTCATTTTATGGGGAGCTCTTACAGATGTCATAACACTCCATAATTCAAATAGGTCAAGCAGAGTTGTACCATTGCAACTACAATCAGTTTCAAAACATTATCATTCTTAAACTCATTGATATCAGCTCCCATGTATCCCCTCACTGCCTCCCCCTCCCCCCAACAAAACAGATATTGAATGACATGTCCAGTCCACTGCCAGCTTCTGAGTGACTCAAAGCCCCTTTGGGAGAAGTGCTCACACCGGGACCATGGCAAAACCCCCCTTTAGTACCTTTACAACTACGTCACCATCTCCTTTTCAGGATAAATTGGTGGGACTTGAACGGTATGTCTCGCCTTTGTTATCCTTGCATCCCCCCTGGTGGGTTGGCTTGGGAAAGGTGTTTCGGCCAAAGGAGAATGAGTCCATTCTAGCCGGTCATGCCTTGGATTTGCTTGGTAAGCAAGGGAACCACGTCTTATGTGAGGTCGTCATTGGCACCTCTGAGAAGTGAACTTCCCCCTTGGAGGGTCAGTGTGTGCGGGGAGCCGGGTCGTTGTCTTGAATGTCGTGCACCATGGAGGGGGAGAGTGGCATGAGCATATTTGCCCTTTCTGCGAGCTGCCCCAACGATCAGTTCAAGGGTTTCTAAACACTCCAGCTGCCCGTCAATAGCCGCTTGTGCTCGCTTTTGTGCAGGAGGATCTGGGCTGGGCGGGGGGAAATGTTGGCATGCAGAAAGCCTATTCAGCTAAGTAGCACCACGGTTTCTCTGTCGCTCTTTTGATTTTGCTGAGAGCCTAACTTCAATGCCTGGAATATCTCTGTCAGCCCACAGCCACGGTCATAGCTGTAAGTTCTGCGTGTATTATAAGTATTTAAAATGACCTTTGGAACTGTCTGATCTATTTAGGTCACTACCCTATTGTCTTGGGTTGCAAATCATTAGCACGCATCAGCATAACTGAACATAAAGCTTAGAAGCAACTTGTGGTTTCTGAGCCTTTTGGCTTCCACTTCAGCAAGAGCAACTTGGTAATGAATGAAAACACCAGTGGGGAAGGTTGAGTGGCTCCTGGTCTATCAGGTGACTGCAGACTGTAATAGATAGCCCAAGTTCAGGCCAAAGTGGGGGTCGGCAGAAGGAAAAGTAAGATCAGTGAAACAGACCCACAACTCACTTTAGGGAAAAAAATGTTGCCCCAACTCCCTAGCACTAAGCTCTTTTATCCTTAGACCGTTAAAGTGGCAACACTTTGTATAGCTGTCATCGAGAATCGTCGAAGGAAATGTTAACTCTAATTCTTTCCTTGGATTGTAGCTTTTCTGTAGTGTTAAATCTATTTCAGTAACTTGGATTTCCTTTCAGGGGTGAGAACTTTCAGATGACATTATCTTCCTCACCAGAAATAGATGCTGCAGATTGCTCTGGGAACCAGCAGGCGCTGTAGTAGGGGCAGTCTAGTCTTAACGGTTTCCCCACTTCCCGCCCTCCCCCTAGAACACTGGCTGCAAACAAATCACCGGGGAATGGCCACGTGATGTTAAGCTCTAATATTCCAGACAGCTGCGGTCACACATGTGCTGGGAAACTTGACGGAAGCCCATTTTTAGCCAGGCCGTCCCATAAAGAGAGATGCCATTATGTCATTGTAAAAGCCCTCCTCTTTGACCGGACTTCTCCTCCTCTTGATGCCCATCACAGATCTGTTGAAGATCACCAACTTGAGAATCAAGTTCGTCAAACTTCATACCCTGGGAGATAACCTCTTGGACTCCAGAATGGAGATCAGGGAGAAGTACTACTACGCCGTGTATGACATGGTGGTTCGAGGCAATTGCTTCTGCTACGGCCATGCCAGTGAATGTGCCCCTGTGGATGGGCTCCGAGAAGATGTGGAAGGCATGGTAAGCCGGTGCCCCGTGAGGGTTTCCACATTACACGAGGGGTTCTTAACAGCCAGTGGCAGCCAGTCTGGCCTGAGACTTCCCACATTTTGGAGGGTTTCTGGTTCCCAGATGGACATCTCGCCCCCCTCGTGCTTGGTCCTCAATCCTCGATGTTCCCTTTGGCAAGTCTCTTGGGATCCGAGAATGTCGGGGCTGCTCATTTCGTCAACACTGTGTTAACTTTTGGAACTTGTTGCTAAAGTTGATATTTTAATCGAGGATTACACGGTTGTCTAAATAACTGTCTGCCTTTCCATGAGGGGAGATTAGAAACCACAAGCATTCCAGGCTTCCCGCTAGAAGGCATGAGTCAGCCCCCACCCTAAGAAACTGGAAATCTCACCCCAGACCCAGCACATGTGTCTCGCGATCAAGCAGACTCTCCATCTCCTTTGCTTCAGAATTCCATTCCTGCCCCGTCTGTGGGCTGTGGTTTCTAATCATGTACCTTTTTAAAAAATCCTGGATTTGAATGGTTTGCCAGGTGGGTAGAACATTATTCGAGTGCTGTACCAGACTCTCGATGAATTCCTAGCTACTCATAGAACGTGAAAACCAAACAGGTTTTCACCTAAACCTGACCAGGTTGGAGGAGACCAGGACCAGTGACTAAGTAATTTGGCAAAACCCCACAAAAACCGAAAACCTCAAAGCACACTGCCATTGAGTCGATGCTGACCTGTGGATTTCCGAGACTAGCTCTTAAAGGAGTAGGCAATCTAATCTTTCTCCCTCTCCCTCATAGTACTTGGTGGCACTCTGCAGGCCAAAGCCTAGCACAGTGCTCCACCAGGGCCCCTACTTTGCCACAGGGAAGATCAGTATCCGATCTTAAGGTGGGAACTGGACTCCCGCTCTTCAGACTCCCCAAGTATTGTTCCCACCAAACGATACAGCTTCCTTTTCACTTTGCTGACCAATTTTTATTGTAGATGACGTAACACTGGCCATTTTATGCATCCCAGTGGCACTTGATGACATTGACACTTGTAGCCATCATCCTTACCTGTTCTCAGAATTTTTCATCACTCTAAACGTAAGCTCTCTACCCATTAATTAAAAAAAACCTGTTAGATCTCTCGTGGGAGAGATATACCTTGGTCCTTGGCTTTGCGCGAGAAAGAATTCACACCAAAGCCTGGGTTGTGCACCAAGTGGGTTTATAGAGGATAGAAGCTGCACAAATGCATGGGACTGTGGCCCTGCTGTGCTGCACTGTGTAGCAGCCCCTGGGAGAGAGG